GTCCACCTATTATCGGAATACCTTGCTTCTTGCCCAGCCCATTTCTATTTAGTTCTTAGAATGAACCCCACTGCATCTATTATATTTGTTGTTTTTCTTATTCTGTCATTTCTCCATCTATCTTGTAGTGTTATATGAACTATTTTTCTTTCCATAGCTCTTTGTGTTGTATCTATCTTTTTCCTTATCTATTTTGTTAGTGCCCATGTTTGGCAGCCATATGCTAAGGTTGGTAGTACACACTGATCCATGATCTTCTTCTTCAAAGTAATGAGGATATCTTGATCCTCTAGAATTTCTTTATACATTCCAAAACATTGCCACGTTACCTTTATTGTTACCATAATTTCTTCCCTTGTTGTATTTTCCATTTTGAGGGTTTGTCCTAAAGATTTGTATTCTGACACTTTCTCTATTTCTTCATTTGAAGGCTATAAAAATTATGGTTTTTCTGAGCAATGACAATTTTACAGTGAGTAATTTAGATTTAATTTCATACTTTTTGGAGGGGTGGTGGATAAAATATAGAAAAGAAGATGCCTAGAGAAAATGTGTCATGTGTGTAAAACTAGGGGAAATTCAGGATTTTTTAAAAACTGCCTTGTAGAATTAAGAACTTAAAACTTGTAAACTATTAAGATATGGATTATTAGCTAAGATTTTATGCTCTACTAATTTGTATAACATAAACCAAAAGTATAATAATAAAATTGTGAACGTAAGACACTAAAACCTTGCGTCATGTACAGTAAAGGATACCCATGGTGATAGCAATAAAGTAAAACAAATGTTACCATCAACAGCAAAGAAAAAGTTTAGTTGATAAAAGTAAAATACAACCTTATTACCGAAGTGAGTATGGAAGCATTTAAAAAGAAAAGCATAAAAAGTAAGTATTATTCTTATGAAGTTATATCTTGCAACTTGAAAAACACGAGACATTGTAAAGATGCATTAAAAGAATGGCCTGAAAAACCCTGTATTATAATATCATCATAAGGATCAACAGGTTGAGTCCTAATAAAACTTGAAATGCTATTAAAGCACTCTTTCCTCTTCTTTTTCCTTTTTTAAAAATATGCAGTTAAATTTTGAGTGAGGAACAATAGTGAACATTTATCAAGTGGCTTTTTAAAATATAAAATTTCTTCACCAGATCCAAATGAATCAAACTATCATGTAGTTAATCCTGTCCAAGTATACTCTATAAATATTCTACTGCTTATCACTACCCTTAAAGAACAGCAACTAATATTATCTTAGGGAATTGTGAAGAGAAACAAGACTGTTTTATAACCTTTCTTTCTTGATCCTGTTGTCTTCTCTTTTTCCATTCCTCAAGAAGATTTGGCAGTCGCTGTTTAACAGTAACTTTTACATCAGTTTTCAGATACAAGATAACATCTGGACACCAGGCTTCTTGAAGCATGTACTTCACATCACTGATGTCATTAGGAAAGGATTGTAGAACAAAACCTTGGGTCCTAAATGAGCCCAAAATAATGAGAAAACACATCTCAAATATTATTAACCAATCAAAATTTTGTAAAACAAAAATTGAGGATATTGTTCTTAGTCCAAGTCTATAAAACCTATCACTCTTAAATTTTAGAAGATAACTGTTGATTTCTTTTATTAACGCAAAGCTACGCAACTAGACTCTAGATTTTAGCATTGTAAGTCCAAAACATTAACACTGCTAGTAGATAGTACTGTTGTTTATATGAAAGTTTCCCTCCAGTTTAGCTGTATATTAATGACACTTTACTGATAGAAGTTTCATACAGCTATGTGAAGAATAACCTCAAATATACTAAACTATGACCAAATAAAGCTTTCCTTCTCATCAGTTTAAGCTTTATTTTATGTATGTATGTGTGTGTTATTTTTATATACAGGATAAAACACTTTGTATAAACAGCTTATTTCAAGTTTGAAAACAATTTTTGTTTGTTTTTTTCAATTATGCACAAAGCTACACAAGGGCTATCTGTGCTCTGCCCACCACGGGTATTGAAACCCGGTTTCTAGCGTTGTAAGTCTGTAGACTTACCTCTGTGCCACTGGGGGCTTCTTGTTTGTTTGTTTGTTTGAAGTTAAGCACAAAGCCACACAATGGGCTATCCGTGCTCCGCCTACCACGGGTATCGAAACCCGGTTTCTAGCGTTGTAAGTCCATAGACATACCGCTGTGCCACTGGGGGGCAACAATTTTTCCATAACCAAAGGTTTTCCAACTGAAAAGCTTTAAATATATTCAGCAACAGTAACTTAATTCCCTCAGAAATTCTGAAGAAGCTATACAAATGGTAAAAGTTAACAAATAGGGCTACTGAGTTTCTTTAACCGAGTCAGTTCTAATGTAAGAAAATATTTTTTTATGCACTCAAAAAAATTATTTAATAATTGAGATTATGAAGCTGCAAAACAAACACAATAGTTTGAACTTACTTAAAAGGCTCATCCATCCACCATTTTCTCACAATCTGAAGGGAACTATGAGGAAGATTAGCATCAGCCTCTTGGAAAAAGTGTTCGACATCTTCAATACTACCATTCAGGTTATCTTCAAAGGTCTGAGCAAAAATAAAGTAAGATTTTTCAACAGTATTATTTCCTAATTAATGATCTAAAACTTTAAAAAAATCTACAGAAATCGATAAAAAAGGGGCTTCACATTCACACTATTCATTCGCGTACTCCTACTGCAAATAAAACACAAATAACCAATATCTGTAATGAAAAAATTATATAAATTTAAGAATTTTCTGACTTACTTTTATTTACCTGAAGAAAGAACAAAACAGAGAAAATATCACTTAAACACAGTACAGTATTTAAGCAAGATTCACTTCAGTGATAGTAAATTAATATCTT